AAACTGCTTATTGTTGCAAGCCACTGGAACTTCAGGGGTCTTTGTTACTGAGATAAACACAGTGACAGCCCTCCAAAGTAGGGAGTGAGTGGTGGCCAGAGCCACAGCAAGTAACTTGTTGTCCCTGTAACCTCGGAACCAGCCTAATCTGGTTCAACTTTGTGGAATAAAACGGTGAGATGTTTTTCAGTTGCCACTGACCCCCAGGTTGAAGTTCACATATGGTGAGCAGGCACAGATGAGCCAAATACGCAACCGTAGGTGGAACTTAAGAAGCAGGTAACCAATTAAGTTAACCAATTAAGAAGCAGTCTGGCGTCCACTTCTTAATTGTCCCAGACCAAGGAATGGGACAATTAAGAAGTGGACACCAGGCTGGTCATGGTGGCTTGTGCCTGTCATCTCAGCACTTTGGGAGGCTGAGGCAGGACGATCACTTGAGTGTCTAGTTCAAGACCAGGTCCTGGGTGGCCGTGCCCACCCTCTTGGTCCGGGCTTCCTGGACTCCCTGTCCTCGGGCTCCGACGCCTTGCTCTCCGTGTGCTCAGACCCTGCTACTCCTGCAGCCTCCTTTCCCGGCATTACATCCTCGCTGGCAGCCCCAAAGCTGCATTGTTCCTTGCCTGCCTTTGGCATATTTGAATTTCCTGCCTTCCCACACTTTTCCTCCTTCCCTCTTCCCCAAGTGGTGCTCCCGGCTGCAGCCCGGCCTGAACCGCCAGGTGCGCGCCACCAGCTTCCAGAGACTTGCCTCGCTCTTTTTGTCCTTTTTGTCTCTTTTAATCCTTGCCCCAGCCCCTGAGGAGGCCAGGCTCAGCCGTCCTTCCCTGGGGAGGGGATCTGGCTGTGCCAAGGTGGAAATGACTCCAGAAGGTTCCTGTCGTCTCGGGCCTTCCCCAGGACCAATGTTCTTGAACAAGACAGACAAGACCTTCGAGACGGCATCTTTTTTTTTTTTTTTTATTGAGATGGAGTCTCACTCTGTCACCCAGGCTGGAGTGCATTGGCACGATCTCGGTTCATTGCAACCTCTGCCTCCCAGGTTCAAGCAATTCCCCTGCCTCAACCTCCTGAGTAGCCTCCTGAGTGCACCACCATGCCCAGCTAATTTTTGTATTTTTAGTAGAGATGGCGTTTCACCATATTGGTCAGGCTTGTCTTGAACTCCTAACCTCATGATCCGCCTGCTTCGGCCTCCCGAGGTGCTGGGATTACAGGTGTGAGCCACCGTGCTGGGCCATCTTCTTGTTCCTCCAGCCCAGAGAGTCAATCACAGAAGCAATTCCCTTCCCATCCTCTCCCCTTCCCTTTTTTTCCTTGAGACTGAGTCTTGCTCTGTCACCCAGGCTGGAGTGCAATGGCACCATCTTGGCTCACTGCAAACTCTGCCTCCCAGGCTCAAGCGATTCTCCTGCCTCAGCCTCCCGAGTAGCTGGGATTACAGGCACCCACCACCATGCCTGGCTAATTTCAGGTATGTCTCTGGTGGCCAGAAGAGCCACCATGTGGGAGTGGCTGCTCCTGCCTTCTTTGACAGTCAAGTGCATCAAATCGGAGACCTTTTCTTTTCCTCTTTTGAGACGGAATCTCACTCTGTCACCCAGGCTGGAGTGCAGTGGTGCAATCTCAGCTCACTGCAACCTCTGCCTCCCAGGTTCAAGCAATTCTCTGCCTCAGCCTCCCGAGTAGCTGGGACTACAGCAATGCACTACCACGCCCAGCTAACTTTTGTATTTTTAGTAGAGACAGGGTTTCACCATCTGGGCTAGGCTGGTCTTGAACTCCTGACCTCGTGATCTACACGTCTCAGCCTCTCAAAGTGCTGGGATTACAGGCCTGCGCCACCGCGCCCGGCCGATCAGTGGCCTTTCCTCCATCTCCTCCTGTTGGGCTTTGTCTGTCCTGGTCACCAGGGCCAAGAACTCCATGGGACCATCCGCCTCGTCCTTGTAGCTTCAGAAGGCCCACTTCTTGTGAACTTGCCCTCCGACTGCTGCCTGGAGTGCTGGGTACAGCCTGCTGTCATTGTCATCTCTGCTCAAGCCCCCTCATCTGCCTCCTCGATCTTGATGTCCAAGCTCTCCTGAGAAACTTCCTCGGATTCCTTCTTTGCCAGGGGAAATGGACACGTCCTTCGGGCCCTCTTTTAGCTTCTGGCTCAATTTCTGTGACCCCTCCTCTTCTTGCTACTATTCTTGTAGCCCCGGGAGGGTGGACACTTTTCTTGATGACTGTCCTGACCCCTGGGCCTGGGTCTCCGAAGCGGGAAGGGTGGGCGGCCCCCCCCAGGGGCCCGTCATCCAGCAGCAGGCGTCTCATCTGCCTCAGGACCCTCGTGTCCTACGCATGGTCCTTCCACAGAACCCTCCAGACCCCATCCTTGCCCGGGATCTCCCTGGGAATGGCAGTGTGATTGACGTCCTCCACAAACTCCACCAGGGCAGCCTGGGCCTTCTCGTTTGTCAAGGCCTTCATGCGTCCCAGCCTGAACCTGACCAGGGGCAGGAGGGAGGGCTGCAGGGCGGCTTCGACGTGCGCCTGCTCCAGGCCCTCCGGGATGCCGGTGACCAGCAGGGCCCTGTGCGCGTCCACGTCCAGGCCCCGGCACCAGTCCTGCAGAAGGCTCATGGCCATGGTGCGGCCCACTGGACGCTGATCTTGGGGCAGGAGGGAGCCTGAGATGGGGTGGGCTGCAGTGCAGAGTCAATGCCACCCTGGAAAGCCACCCTCAGGGCTTAGAGTCCCGGTTCCGGTGAATGTGGCAAGGCTGGGGTGGGGCTCGGGGCTCCTAGTTGCCTGCTAGCCGGCTGGACACAGTGACATTCCTCCGGGACCCCTCCCCAGAGCTGACTGAGGATCTGCAGGAGACTACGGATCTGTTCTCCATGGATGCACGTGGATCCCTTTGAGAGCAGCGGCTCGTCTCAGAGCTACCAGATGAGGAAACACCTCCCACTCCAGCCACGTGGGGACACCCCCCTCCCCATTACCCCTTAATCCTGATGGTTCCTCTGTGCCCCATCAGCCAGGGCAGCAGGCCTGGGCTCTGGCAGGGGCCTGTCTCTCCCTCCTCCATTGGCTCCCGCTGTTTCCATGGCAACGGTTTTCAGGCTGCTGCAGGGACTGACCGTTTTTTGTTTTAAGAAGCCCACTGAAAAGGAGAATATGCATCTTGTTTGCTTACTGAGGTCTTTCATGACTTGAGGAGATAGGCCTCACACAGAGAGCTAGGCTTGGTCGGTGGGACGGGGCCTCCTCTGGGGCTCCAGGTCTTGGGTCAGTTTGATGTTTAGGGCCCAGGGTGGGCCAGGTGAAACAGGCTGAGTGAAGGTTGTGCTGTGGGCTGGGCCTGATGCAGGGACACAGATTCTATCCAGGTAAAAAAAAGAAAAAAACCACAACCAGCCGGGCACAGTGGCTCGCGTCTATAATCCCAGCACTTTGGGAGGCCAATGCGGGCAGATCACTTGCTGTCAGGAGTTCGAGACCTGCCTGACCAACATGATGAAACCCTGTCTCTACTAAAAATACAAAATTAGCCAGGTGTGATGGCATGTGCCTGTAATCCCAGCTACTCAGGAGGCTGAGGCAGGAGAATCTCTTGGACCTGGGAGGTAGAAGTTGCAGTGAGCCAAGATTGTGTCATTGCACTCCAGCCTGGGTGACAAAAGCAAAACTCCATCTCAAAAACAAAAACAAGCAAAAAAATCACAACCGGAGAAGCATGGTGGCTGACACCTGTAATCCCAGCACTTTGGGACATCGAGGCAGGTGGATCACTTGAGATCATGAGTTTGAGAGCAGCCTGGCCAACATGGTGTAATCCTGTTTCTACTGAAAATACAAAAATTAGCCAGACATGATGGTGCACACCTGTTAGGAGGCTGAGGCAAGAGAATTGCTTGAACATGAGACGCAGAAGTTGCAATGAGTCGAGATCATGCCACTGCCGTCCAGCCTGGGTGACAGAGCAAGACTCTGTCTCAAAAAAACAAAAAATGAGGCTGGGCGTGGTGGCTCATGCCTGTAATCCCAGCACTTTGGGAGGCCAAGGGGGGCGGATCACCTGAGGTCAGGAGTTTGAGACCAGCCTGGCCAACATGGTGAAACCCTGTCTCTACTAAAAATACAAAATTAGCCAGGTGTGATGGCATGTGCCTGTAATCCCAGCTACTCAGGAGGCTGAGGCAGGAGAATCTCTTGGACCTGGGAGGTAGAGGTTGCAGTGAGCCAAGATCGTGCCACCGCACTCCCGCCTGGGTGACAGAGCGAGACAAAAAAATGAAAAATCACGACCTTTGGGCAGCAAGTGCCACCATGACCCTGCTGGGCCTGCTGTGTAGCGGAAAGTAGGCGGCTTGCTCAGAGGTGAGGACTTGCTGGTGGAGGGGAGCGTCTTTGGGCTTCAGGAAGAGCCCCTAGGACACCTGCAAATGATCATGTCATGACACCAGGAGGTCCCTTTCATGTCTTGCTAACTGTCCCACCAGCACCCCAGGTGTGGCCCCAGTATGTTCCTGGGCCGCACCGGTGTCTGGGAACACTGTCATGGTGAGCAAGCCCCAGGCCCTAGGATGAGCCTCAGGTGAGACACTCACTTCGCACTTCTTCCACCTGGGCAAAATAACAAGGAGAAAATCAGCTGTTTCTTATCATCAGCCCACCCCATGGCTAAGCTGCTGGTCTGCCCTCTGTGTGAGCTTGGATCTGTCCTGCACATGCAGGGGCTGAGAATATGCTTGCCAGACAGGTCTGCTCCAGGGACGGTGATATCATCTCTGCCAGGAGCCTGTCATCTTGTTCCCTGCTGACAAGTGACCCAGAGCCCCAGGACCAAGGTAAAAAGACTCAGGAACACGGAAAATGATGGTGCCAGCTCTCAAAACTCTGGAAGGCCCTTTCCCTGTCCGCCTGACTCCTGGGCCAGCATTTGGAACCAGATGTACTCTCTGGCAGGGCACTGAGAAGCCCCCCACCCTCCTTCCCTTGGGGGCTTGGAGAATGTTTTGAGGAGCGGGATGTACAGGAATCTTTAGGTTCTAAATACAGAAACCCAAGTTAGCTTTGTTTAAGCAGGTTAGTGAAAAAGGAATTCATTGGCTCATGTTACTAAAGTCCAGGATCTGCACTGGCTTCAGGCATGGCTGGTTCCAGGGCTCCTTCATTCATTAATTTAGCCCGGGGATAGGGTGAGCTCTGTAGGAGTCACCTGGAGGGAGAGTGGGGAGGGGGTTTCCCAGAGAGAAATGGAGGTGAATTACTCAGGAGAGAGGAGTGGACTCTGGACTGGAGAGCAGGAGAATCTGCCCTAAAAGCATGATGGCATTAGTGAGACTCACTGTGCCCGGATCAGGGAGGGACTGAAGGGAGTGTGGGACCCTCTCCAGGAGCCCTGGGGCCTTGGCTTCCAACGGACTCCTGGCAGCACCCCTGGCAGCCTCAGCAGGATGAATTTCCAGGTCCTGGGAGCCTGAACACACACCCTTGGCTAGCAGGTCTGGAATCTCCTCTTCTTGGCTGTGGGTCTTTGTTAGAGAATGTCTCGATTTCTGGCTGGGGGAGAGGGAGAGGGTGTCAGTCATCCAGTGCTCACTTGTTCAACCCCGTAGGCTGATCTTTCCTTCCTTCTTTCCCTTCCTCCCTCCTTTCTCTGTCTTTCTTTGTTTCCTCCCTCCCTTCTTTCTCTCTCTCCCCCTTTCCCGCTCCTTTCCTTCCTTTTTCTATTTCTTTCCTTTATCTCGCCTTCCTTCCTTCCCCTCCCTCCCTTCTCTTTCCTTCCTTCCTTTTTTCCCTTCCTCCCTTCTCTCTCTTTCTTTCCCTTTCCCTCCTTCTTTCTTTATTTTTCCCCCTTCCCCTTTCCCTTCCCTTCTTCTTTCTTTTCTGGGGACGCCGAGATGACTGAAGCCCTGCCTCCTGGAGCACAGGGAAAGCCTGGATACTTAGGGGAGGAGGGTTGGAAGAGCTGGAGCTAACTCTGGATCAGGGCAAGCTTCTCAGAGAAGGTGATTATTTGTGCGAGGTGAGGTAGGGAAAGGGAAGAGGTGCTTTTGAGGCAGCCAGTGGGCTCAGATCCCAGTGACTAAATGGAAAACAGGATGTTTAAGGAGCTGGGGGTGGAAGGGTGTGTCTGGGCAGCGGGATTGGGGTTGGGTAGGAGGTGGCAGGGCCAGGCGCAGAGGGTCTTGTGAGTCGGTCCGTCACCAAGGCCAGAGCTGGAAGCTTCTCTGCAGCTTATGTGCTGTGTGATGCTGGGAAAGTTAAACGACCTCTCTGAACCTCACTTTCCTCATTTACAAGCCACTCTCAGAGTTGCGGTGTTGAGTTAGGCACACGGAGGATTTAGCACAGGTACTGGTCACCATAGGGCTTTAAGTATCGATTATTGGTGTCAATCCTTGTTTTCCTAATTCCCTTTTGTGTGTAGAACGGGCTGTTGCTGTATGAGGAATTTGCTGGGTCAGGGCGCCGTCTGGTGGGCATGGGGAGCCAGTTCAGGGAGAAAGATGGAACTAGAGGTTTTGGTTTTAAAGGGCATCACCCTCCCTCCCCCTCTTCCTCCCTCCCTCCCCCACTCCCTCCCTCCAGTGCATTCAACAGGGTCTGATCCTGCCTAGGTAGGGACTGAAGCAACTCAGGCCCTACCTTCCCGGGGGTTTACAGCCCGGTAGGGGGAGACACAGGAACCCCACCTGAGTAGAGCTTAACACTGCGGAGAGGATGGGACTGTGGGATACAGGGCTTCATAGGAGCCCAACTTGTTCCCGGGGCACTGGGGAGCCACAGAAAGCTTTAGAGTAGGGGAGAAGCAGGGTCAAGTTTGTGATGTCATGTGGATGAATGGGACAGGTGAGGCTGGGGCTGGACCCAACAAGGAGGCTGCAGAAGGGGTGGGCTGGGGTGGCGGAAGGTGTGCAGGGTGTGGGAGGGGAACGTTGGGGCAAAGTTCAGGACCCTGGCTCACTCCTAGTTTGGGAGAGGGGTTTCTTTCTCTCACCCTCGGGGGTCATCCCCAGCCGGATGGTCCGCTGGGAGCTGCCAGCCACTCATCTCCTGGCCAGGCCCAGGCCTGGAGCCCTATGTCCCACACAGAGCTCCGTAGGTCCCCTTCAGCCTAGAGGGTTATGGCTCCCAGTCCCCCAGGGTGGGTCCTGCCGCCGGTGGACCCTGGTGGGCCTGAGGGAGAATCTGGTGGGCCTCCTGGGTGGGCTCTGTCCCCGAATGGTCAGAAACAACCTTTCAGCTCTCACAGTGGGGTGAGAGAGTGGAAAGAGGTAGGGGATGGTGGGTCTCTGGACGCATGCCGGGGTTCTCTCTAGGAGGCCAATAGTTTTGACCTTCAGGCAGAAAGAACCCCGTGGGAAAGTCCCAGAGGTGAGCAGAGCCTGGCTCGGAGGTGGTGAACGTGGAGGGCTGCAGTGTGGGGGGCGGGAGGAGGTTGTGATGAGGCTGTCGGGAGCAGATCACACAGGGCTGTTGGGAGATGCAGGACTTTCTGCGGGAGGCTCTGGGGGAGCCCTGGGAGGTTCTGCGTAGGGAAAAGAAGGGTCAGGTCTGTGCCTTAGGAACTCCTCTGGAGGGGCAGGACGGGAGGCTGTGAGGTCAAGTGGAGACTGAGGCCGGAACCTGGGCAGGAGAGGCCAGGCCAGGGCTGGGTGGGACTGGAGGGTGAGAAGGGAGTGGCTGGATCTGAGAGATGCTCAGGAGGCTGACTTGGCAGAAGAAGTGAAATGACTGCTGAGCTTTGGGGGTTGAGTCCAGGTTGAGGCTCAGTGTCAGCTGGGTGAAGGGGTGGAAGGTAGACTTCCCTGGGATGGGAGCAGCCTGCATGGGGGTTGCTGCTGAGGTCAGGTCAGAATTCTGGGCCACAGCAGCCGCTGGGAGGAGCCTGTTGCCCCCCAGGACCTGGGATCCAGGCTCTCAGGAGTCCTGGGGCTGGGCAGCAGCCAGAGGGGCCTGGCACTGAGCTGGTGGAGGAGAACGGCCCTGCTGGCCCAGGCCCCTCCTGTCTGGCAGGCAGTAGCAGGCACAGAGCCCCAGGCTCCAGGGCTTTGGGAATAACAATAAAAAGAATAATTACAGCTCACCTTGGACAGGTACAGTGGCACGTGCCTGGAATCCTAGTACTTTGGGAGGCTGAGGTGGGCAGATCACTTGAGGTCTGGAGTTTGAGACCAGCCTGGCCAACATGGTGAAACCCCATCTCTGCTAAAAATAGGAAAATTTGCTGGGTGTGGTGGTGGGCACCCATAATCCCAGCCACTCGGGAGGCTGAAGCAGGAGGAATCACTTGAACTCAGAAGATGGAGGTTGCAGTGAGCCGAGATTGTGCCACTGCACTCCAGCCCGAGTGACAGAGTGAGGCTCCATCTCAAAATAATAATAACATTTTGGGAGGCCAAGGCGGGTGGATCATGAGGTCAGGAGTTCGAGACCAGCCTGGCCGAGATGGTGAAACATTGTCTCTACTAAAAATACAAAAATTAGCTGGGTGTGGTGGCATGTGCTTGTAATCTCAGCTTCTCGGGAGGCTGAGGCAGAGAATTGCTTGAACCCGGGAGGTGGAGATTGCTGTAAGCTGAGATCTTGCCACTGCACTCCAGCCTGGGTGACAGAGCGAGAATCCATCTCAAAATATAGTAATAATAATAATTACAGCTCACCTGAAGTGAGCCCTCCGGTGCCCAGGAACGCCATGGGGTTTCACCTCCCAGGGGGCTGGGAGATGGCCAGGAGCAGCCCTGTTGGTTTCATAGAGGAAGTATATTGATCAGAGTTCTCCAAAGAGACAGAATCAACAGGATAAGTGTAGAGAGAGACAGTGAAAGGGGTTTATTGGACAATTAGCTCCATAAGGCTGAGAAGTCCCGAGGCTGTCTGCAGGCTGGAGACCCTGGGATGCAGGGGGCATGGCTCAGGCCAAGTCCGAAGGCCTCAGAAGCCAAGGGTGTCATTCTCAATTTGAGGCCAAAGGCCTGGGAATCTGACAGGCTGCTGGCGTAAGGCCTGGAGTGTTGCAGCCTGTGCTGGTTCCCACGGGGGACCTGGAGCTGAGCCTGTGGTCCTCAGACCAGCAGACGTTTGATTTTAGTGTCGTTGTAGCTAAGGTCGATAAAATGTGCCTGTGTGACCAGCTTCGCTATGTACAGTTTTGGGGTGCAGAGACCAAGGCTTGGAGGTTAATTAAACATGTCCAGGGTTGCATGGCCAGCACCTGGCAGCCTGGGTGGTCTGACTTCAGCGTTCATGGAACCCAGGGCTGGGCAGCCTCTGTGCCCCCACCTCGGCCTCACCATGCACACCCCTTCCCTCCCACCCAGGTGGTCAAGGTGAAGCCCCACGACAAGGACGCCAAAATGAAATACCAGGAGTGCAACAAGATCGTGAAGCAGAAGGCCTTTGAGCGGGCCATTGCGGGCGACGAGCACAAGCGCTCCGTGGTGGACTCCCTGGACATCGAGAGCATGAGTGAGTCAGGCCCAGGCGCCGTGTGCTCCAGCCTAGAGCATTCCACATGGGCGCGCTCTATTCCCTGGGGTGGGAGTGGGCTTGGGGGTAGCCCCTTGTTCTGTCCCCAGGCTGCTGTCTGTCGCTTCTCTGCCTGTGTTCCAGGGCGCTCCATCCGCAGCCTGAAGCTGGGCCTCACGCTTCCCAGTGGGCGAGATCAGGAGTTGTAACACCCCCTCAATATGGCTTGGCTGTGTCCCCACCCAAATCTCACCTTGAATTGTAGCTCCCATAATTCCTACATGTCGTGGGAGGGACCGGGTCGGAGATAATTGAATCCTGGGGGCGGTTTCCCTCGTACTGCACTCCTGCTAGTGAATAAGTCTCACGAGATCTGATGACTTTATGAGAAGAAGCCCCTTTTGCTCGGCTCTCACTCAGCAGCCACTCATGCAACCAGCGATACCCATCTGGATTAGACAACCTGGAAAACCTAAGGACCCTACCACGCATGTCTAAGATGACGGTGCGGCTACCAACAATGACCGTACACCCATCTGTCCCAGCCAGTGGTGCTCCCCGAAAGTCATGCTGTACTATCTCATTATCTCCTCAGCTTGCTCTGTCAAAAGGGGAAAGTTGTTAAAATAAAATGGGGGAGCCAGGCGCAGCGGCTCACACCTGTGATCCCAACACTTTGGGAGGCCAAATTGGAAGGATCCTTGAGCCCAGGAGTTTGAGACCAGCCTGGGCAACATGGCAAGACTCCATCTCTACAAAAAAAAAAAAAAATTAGCTGCACAAAGTGGCGCATGTGCACGCCGGTGTTCCCAGCTAGTTGGGAGGCTGAGGCAGGAGGATCACCTGAGCCCAGGAGGTTGTGGCTGCAGTGAGCTGTGATCATGCCACGTCACTCCAGCCTGAGCAACAGAGTGAGACCCTGTTTCACACACACACACACAGAAGTAGCGGGGTGGACCAGGACTGAGAATTCCCCCGGCAGACAGAATCAGGCCACATAAGCAAAACCTAATGCACTTTGACTTTTGAATATAAGCGAAACTTAACTTAGGTTCGTCCTTCCTTTCCTCCCTCCCTCCCTACCTACCTTTCTCTCCCTCCCTCCCTCCCTCCCTTCCTTTCTCTCCCTCCCTCCCTCCCTCCCTTCCTTTCTCTCTCTCCCTCTCCTTCTTTCCTCCTTTTCTCTCTTAATTCCTTCCTCCCTTCCTTTCTTTTTTTCTTCTTTTTTTGAGATAGACTCTCATTCTGTTTCCTAGGCTGGAGTACAGTGGCACAATCTCAGCTCACTGCAGACTCCATCCCCTGTTTTAAGCGATTCTTGTGCCTCAGCCTCCTGAGTAGCTGGGATTACAGGCACGTGCCATGACACCCGGTTAATTTTTGTTTGTTGTTGTTTTTGTTTTTTGAGTAGAGACAGGGTTTCGCCATGTTGCTCAGGCTGGTCTCAAACTCCTGACCTCAAGTGATCTGCCTGTCTCATTCTTCCAAAGTGCTGGGATTACAGACATGAGCTACCATGCCCGGCCAATTTAGGTTATTTCTTTTCTTTTTTTTTTTTTT